AATTAACATTTTAGTACTGCTAACATTTGCTCCTTCTCTATTCATTTACGTTCTCTGGTTTTGGTAAGTAGTGTCAATTGGTCCTTAAGAAGAAACATCTCATAGCGTAGTTGGGTAATTAACCGGTTTTTTAACCAATGATGGCTTGTAGTTTTGCTTGTTATAAAAATACTTAGATTGACAAGTCGAATTTCCGGTGATCATAAATAATTCTTTAACTACCTGGATAATGTGCCAGACTCGATTGCGGCTGTTAAATAATCAGAAAAAAAATCGAAGCGTGAAACCGCCCATTTGTGAAGAAAATTTCGGAGTTTCGGAGACATGAGCGGTTTTGTAAAAAAATTGTAACTTAGTCGGTTCTAAAACATTATACGCGGTTTCCTCGAAACGCTGTTTTCAGAGGCGGTAACGAAAATTCCTTGGAAACAGCTAGATTTAAATCTTTACGCGACGTTCTTAGGTATATTTATCAGTTATTGATTGTAGGAATAAATTTTTTCTCAAAAAACTACAATGTTTCGGGAAGCCGCCGTTGTGTCAAATATCAAGATTTTGACTAGTCCTTCCATCACCTGTTTTCATCTTAGCAATAATAACATAATTATTTTAGTTTTTGGATTTGAGATAATTTTAAGCAGATAAATCTTCCTCACTGTCAGAAACTTTTTTCGGAAGTTGTCCTGGAGAGCGGCTACGGGATCAGGGGAATACAAAACTATACAAAATGTTACAACCAACTCTACCTGAACTTTCTAGTTTTCTTATATTTATAATAATTTCCAGCCTTATTGTTGCATTTGTGCCTTCCTTATCGTAAATTTTTATATATCCTAGCACTTTTTTTTTCTCTCTTTTTTTTCTTGTGTTGCTTCAGCATTTGTTTCATTTGAAGCGTTATATTAAAAAACAAAATTATTAAAATAAAAATTTTATATATGCCGTTTATATTGTCTTATAAATAATTCTATTCCATTTATACCTCATCGCGCGGCTTGAATATGGTTGTATTAATTTAAGACACATTATCTAAAAACAAATATTATGAACAAAATACAACCCTGTGCCATGTGTTTATTGATTTTCTTGTAGTTACTCGTTATACTTCCAACGATTATATTATACTACTCGCTGCATTGCAACTGTCATACTCCGCGAATCTTACCTCACAAGTCAACCAAGTAGAAAAAGTAAGCTCATATTTAAGGTTTCTGGAAATTTTTATTTGTTTTGGTTTTTTACATATATTTCAAGTAGCAATGACATTTTAAATATTATTCAATATATTATAAAGTAAATCGGTAAACCACGGACGGGCGCAAAATCATTAGCGTGAAAAACTAAAACTATTTGGTTGTGTAACACTCGCTGCCGTTTTTCTGTTGTTAATTTTGTAGATTATTGATTTATGTAAATATTTTGAAAAACCTTACTTACAACTTCGATTGTGGCATTAAATATACAATTGCGTTGCTTTTAAAGAGCCTCGCATATAGTACATATGACATGAATCGGCGAATAAACGGCCAGCGATACAAGTTACATAACCTCTGCGCCGTCATCAAACCGCCCTTCTGTCGGTCAACTACTGCTACTACTCACCAAATTAACTTTATCTTTTCAACGTATTTGTATCAATTTCTTTGTATTGCAACTAATATTTCATACTTCTTTTTATATCGAAGGCACATAAAATGGCTCTCCGTGGTTTCAGCATGTCCATGCAGCGTCAGCTGTTGAAGCAATTGCTTAAAAATACCCAAAGTGGTAGCATTGCCTCCGTACATACATTGGATAAGATTGGCAACCGCGAAATCGTCGGTTTTGGCTGGAACGGTACCGCTTGCTACGCTGACCGCACAGACTACCCAATGCCAGCCATTCGTTTCCGCGAGCCCACCAATGAAATTAAGGCTCTGCGCGAAAAGGAGAAGCAAGATTGGAAAAAATTGAGCCCTGAAGAAATTAAGGTTTTGTATCGTGCCAGTTTCTGCCAAACTTTCGCTGAAATCCAAGCGCCAACCGGTGAATGGAAACAGCATTTAGGTATTAGCTTCATCTTTATCGGCTTGGCCATTTGGATTGCAGTTCTCATGAACCTCTTCGGTACGTATGACATGACGATATGCTATAACTAAAACAAACTTTTACTTATAATAAATTTGCCATTTAGTTTACGATGAATTGCCAGTCACCTTCGATGATGAACACAAGAAGGCGCAATTGAAGCGTATGATTGACTTGGAAGTCAATCCCGTTACCGGTTTGACCTCCAAATGGGATTATGAAAACAAGAAGTGGAAATAAATCAAATAAGCTAATTGTGTGAAATAGTGCTGCCTCTGCAGTTATTTAATAAGTCTAAAGCAATTCAAATCTACATAATATACCATCATTGCACAGTTAATTACGATGTTAGTGTTATTGTAATAAAGCTTGTAAACAAATTTGAAGAATACAGTACATTGTAAACTATGCTATAATTAACTATGTGAAGCTTAAAGTGTTAAAGCAGAGCTTTAGTAAATTTCTAATGTTAAAACGACACAACAAACAAAGAGCGAGTATTATTAAAATACAAACATATATAAAAAGAAATGGGGAAATAATTTTGTAGTGAACGATAGCAAATAAAGTAGCTTGGCTTAACAGAGCACTTATAGGTTTTAAGATACTGCAGCATAAATCTAAGTGCAAGGGTTTGTGGGAAGAGTATACATTTTTTTTGTTAATATATCGCAGTATATCTAGAAAAATTCATAATTTTTCTAGGTGATTTATTTTGTCGAATTCAGAATTATCTAGAAACGGAGATATACCAACTTACCTCCAAATTTTTTAGAAATTTAATATACGCATTATTTAGCGCAAGAAAATTCTCTTTTTAACAACACCTCATTCATCAAAATCGTTTTAGGTTTGCTGAAGTTATTCATAAAAACGTAATTGCTTACATCGGTTAACTACCTACTCTCATCTTTTGCGCGCCTGGTGCATCGTAATGCACATTGTGCCAAAAATGCATCAAACACAAAACAAAATATGGCGCCTGAATGTATGCAATGATTTTGACTCGCGCGGCATTTGTGAATGAAGGTGTCGTGCATAACTTTTGAACGCCCCAACCAATTTTGACAAATAAGGTGTCTAGCGAAAGTTAATTTTCGAGCGATGCTAACGCATGTCATATTGGATTAGAAGGGTCAATTGCAGAATGCCTTTTTTTGAGGGGAAATACTGAGAACTCCTACATTGTTTTGTACCACGAGTTTTTTGCAATGCTTTGATACTTAAAGTCTACAAAAGTAATTCTTATCAGATGTGGTTCAGAAATATCTTTCATATATGAGCTCTGTTACGAAAGTCTGTTTAAATTTAAAGAACTTTTAAAAGAAGTTCTAGTATACCTAGATCGCTCAAATTTTTTTGTTTAAAGAGCTTAAGTAAAGGCAGTAGTTGAAATAGTTTTCACTTTCCAAATTTTAAAATTATACACAATACCTGTATACTTACTTCTAAACACCATTATATAAAACAACTAATGATTATTTGTGGTAAAGTGGTCTTCTTATTTATGGTACTAAACCGCGAATCCACGATATCAAAATATATGATTTTGCTATCGACTTTGATGCCATAAATGAACACAGAAACATCGAACCTGCTAACATTTGTCTGCTTTAATAAGCATTTTATAATTTTCTACTAGAATTTTGGCTCCATTAGTAGTTGCTTAACTTTTTAAGAACTAGCAGCATATAGACGTCTGAGTATTCTCTTTCGCCAGACACCTCACTTATCAAAATTGGTTAAGATTTGCAAAAGTTATGCAAGAAAATCCAAGCGCTTCCCTTGTACTAGCAGCCTCTTTGCTACTTCTGGGCGCCTAGTAAAATGCAAACGGTTGGAAAGCAGTTTTGTCATTCAATTACTTCCAGTTAGTAAAAAATCGTTGCATACTTTAAGGCGACACATTTTGAATTGCATTTATGAATATTTGCCGAAAGCGTATAATGACTTACTAGGCGCCCAGCAGCAGCAAGTAGGTGGCTAATAACGTGAAGCATCTGTATTTTCGTGCATAACTTTTGAACGCCAAAACCGATTCTAATAAATGAGGTGTCGAAATAAAGATAATTTTCTAAGGTTGCTAATGCGTAAAAAGACCTATAATACAGTTGCTTAAAAGTTTTCACGGAACTTTGTAGTGCTCAAATGTTGCTAAGGTGTTCGTGCTGCGCCGCAATTACTTTCGGTTAATAAAAATGCAGTTGTAGTTGCTATTATATTTAATACTCTCTTTATTATTGTTTGCTTTGCTCGAGTTTTGTTTCCGCATTCTTTTATTGATTCCAGCGCAATATTTTTACTTACTTATGTACATACATATGTATATGCATATGTACTGCTTTGCTTAGCCAATGAATTAATAATCTTGTGTTTATTTGGCCCTGCGTCATAGTGAACAAAAATGTTTCAACAAATGGCACGAAATCTATACTTAAATGCACAAATTAGGAAATGCAGCTTTGTTTCGATTTTCGATCGGCTTCGAATCATTCGAATTTGCTCTCATAAATGTCAAGTGAACTATACACATCAGTTGTTTATTTGTTTAATTATTATATTTTATAATTTTTTTTTGTTTTAATTTTATTTGTTATTATAAACTTTGTAAACAATTTGTAGTCAATATTTTACGTATATCTTTAAGCAATTAAGAATTCGTGATTTTATTTTATTTTATTTTTTGATTTTTGAAATTAAATAAAAACATATTTTTCATTTTTTTTTTTAACATAGCTAAGGTATTTATTTACTTTAACTTCAAATAAATACAATACGCATAATTATTTTGTTTATTTTCAATAATAATTATTGTAATTATATAATTTGCTTTAATTAAAAATATCTACCGTTATTATACTTGCTCTCAAGCCAGCAATAGTCAAAGGGACTAACGTTTTATCGCGTTTATTTAACTTTATCTTTAATTAGTTAGTAGCAAAAGTTAGTTAATTTATGCTTCTTCTTCTTCTTGACACTACACCCCACAGCAATATTATGCATCGCAAAATAATTTGTATATAGTTTTTTATTATTTTTCATGTACGTATTTATGTGTAGCATATTTTATAGTTAGGTATAGTTATGGTTTGTAGGGTATAAAAAGTGACAAATTCAATAAATTTGAAATATACATACATACAATAATATTAGCACATGCTTTTTTTTAATTTTTATTCATAGCTTTCAACTATTTTTGTTACACTTACATTTAATTTGTTATTACTTTTACATTCATTTGGATTCCTTTCGTGTTTTGTTTTTGCTTGTTTTGTCAGCAAATTCATTAGCGTTATTTCTTATGGTCGCCTGCTCGCGCCACCAATTTTCATAATGCCGAAATTAGCTTAGTGAAATCGTGCAGCGCTCGAGTGTCCGGTTTTTGTATACAGTTATTTTCATTTTCATATTCATTTTGTTTTTGTTTTTCCTTTTTGTGGAGATTAGCGCTATTTTAACTATTTACAAATATTTTGTTAGTATGTACTAAATATTTAATTACAGTTAGTTTGGTATGTGTTGTAGTTTGCATGACTTTATTGTAGCGGTAAATTTATGTTTGCATAGAAATATTTTTTTTTTCATATATTTTTTTTTTGTAAATATAATCAATAGACATATAACATTTATATTTTAGCTAGTTTTTATCTTAGCATTAAATTGTCTTATTTTGGATCATATATATAGATCTGTGTATGTATGCGCAGGATTTGATGAAAATCACTGATTTGCGTAGGTATTACAATTTTGATTTGGTTTTTGCAATTTTGTATGTTTTTGTATTATATTTGTTTTCACAATTCTATTTTGCACGCTACTGTAGATGCTAGTATGCAGTGATAAATTTTTTGGAATGACTGCTTATTGCGCTTAACTTGTTAAAAGCATTACATATGTATCTACATATACATACATATGTATATTCAAATCATGGGGTAAGTCATTAGGTTTGACAATAAAATGTGAACAAGAGTAAATATAAAGTATAACTACATAAAAAAAACATGTAGGTTGTAATATGTTCTTTGTCAAAAAAAAAAAAAAAAAATTATAATAAAATTATAAATTCAAAAAATTTAAATAAAATAATAAATATTATATAAATAATTTAATAAAAATATTTTTAAAAAATTAAAGCAATAAATATAAAATAAAAATAATAATTATTACAAAAAAAAAATAACAAAAAATTTTATACATAAAAATTAAAAAATAATTTAAATACATTTTTTTAATTATAAAAATACAAAATAAAATTATTAAAAAGATAAAAAAAATTAAAGCAATAGTAAAAAATTAAAACACTAAATAAAAATAGAAAAAAATTATAATAAAAAAACATATGAAAATAAAAAAATTGTTTAAATACATTTTTTTAATTATAAAAACACAAAAGAAAATCAAACTTAATTAAAAATTTTTGTATTCTTAACGAGTTTTTAAATAATTTTCAAACATTGTGCGTTTCAACAATATCCAAAGTAATAATAACTGTTCATAATAATAGTTTGGAAAAGCACAAAAACACAAAAATTTTAATCAAATTAAATTTAGGCAGCTTAATATTGGTTTATAATTTGCATTTTTAACAAGTGCGTTTAAAAGTGCAATTTTTCAGATCAATTTTAAAAGCGATGTTTTTTGGTTTGAATACATTGTATGTACAGTACAATGCGCTGCCTGTGGGTCGGGACAAATAAAATTTTCTTAAAGATAACTGCTTTCATTGAATCGTGCGATTGAGTGCCGAAAGTAGTGCAAGAAATTTTATTTGTACAGTCAAAAAGAAAAAAAAGGAAAATAAATAAATAAAAAACAAAAAAACGTATAGCCGTCTGCGATTCACCAATTCTCTACTTGCAGACGCGAAAATTGTAGAAATAATTATGTGTAAAAGCAATAATAAAGTTATCGAGTTGAATTCGTGCAAGAGAGTATGCGGATACCTAATTAACCCTTATGTTACTAACCGGGTACCGCGGTGTATTTGTGTGAATAGCTAAAAAAAATTCAATATTTCATTTTAAGCTCTCAAATCGTCGTTTTTTAACTTAAAGGAAAGATTTAAAAAAAATTTTTTTTTATTCTTTAAATTGTCACTGACTATTAATAAAATAAACAAAATAATAATAATACTCAGATCGTACCCCGGTACCCGGTTGCTAAAAGACGTCGGTAAAGTTGGTTACTAGCATAAGGGTTAAAGTGGTATAGCCGCTATCATCAAAGCTATAAAGTTTTGTTTTGCATATTTAAATTCAGTTTTACTATTGTAAATTTCTCAAATGACAAATGAAAAACAAATTATATTTTTTTTTGTATTTTTAAAACTTAAGACTCTAAATCCATTATAATAAATTAAAGAAAACAAAAATAAAAGTTTACAGCGACGTTTTTTAATGCGAAAAAAACAATTTCTCTACTAAGAAAGAATCATAACACTATTGCGCATGCGTCAGAAGACTTGTTAGCGCAGGGTTGCATCACAAGCGCTGTCCGTTTGTCCGAGCATCTGGTATAGTTTGTTCGATTCGCTGGAGAGTATTGTAACATTTGGCGAATCGAAGACAGCTAGTATTAATTTTTCCAACAACTCTCTTTTTTGTTACTTAACATTTTTTGCATGCGATTAAATAATATTTTTGATATTTGAAAATAATTAAAATAAAATTGAGTGTTTTTTGAATGATGAGTACCGCTTTTCGAGTGTTAGAAAATTTATTAAATTGAAAAAATTTAAAAAAAATTTCAAAATCCAATATTAAGTGAATTGAAAATAATAATAATTTGTAAAATTCAAATTAAAAATATCTTGTTCACATTTAAATGTATAAAATTGAGTTTAGCGCTTAGCAATTATTTGATTTTTACACTGGTATATACTAAATTACACACGCATATATGTATATAAAACATATATATAGTTAAATATGCCTAAATTGCATTTAAAATCAGTGTTGCATTCCCTAAACAAAAGTCGCGTTAAACTTCATAACTTACAAAATATCCAATACGCACATAAATATACTTACAAATATACAAAGCCATGCATATGAATGTTTGATTTTTTAACGAATATGTTATGTATGTATAATGTTTGTATATAGTTAGGTAAGTAGGTATTTAGTGTTTGATTAGTTTTACTATGGACTCAAAGTCCGCTGCCGCTCCTCACCGCACTACCAGGAAACATCAATGAGTCACGCACTGGCGTTTACTCCGCACCCGCTGAACTATCGGGCGTAACATTGGAGTCTAAGCTCGCGCAATCCGACTCCTGCTCTTGGTTCTCGGAGTAATTTGCAGCCTCTTGTAGACGCATGAGCATATTCAACTGAAAAAATATATATAAAGAAAGTGATGGTAATTTTATGTAAATAAAATATTTGAAAATATGTGTTAACTTACCAGTGGATCCGGGTTATCGCCATTGCTGGCCGCCACACCTTCCAGGCCGACATCTTCTGCATTAATTTGACGCAGCGGTGGTACCGAATCAGGTCCATATGGCCACGGATATGAGTTGCGTATGAAAATGGATGGATCATTCCAGGCGCCACCACGTCGCCCATACAATTGTACGCCTTCGCGTACAGCCTCCACCAGATATGGTGATAAGTGATAGTTCCAGATATCGGTAAACCATACCTGTGAGTCCTTCAAGTCTAATGGACAGGCGAGAAAGAGGCGCGGGCCGATGGTTACATCACTGGAGCTATGCGCTTCCAAGAAGCGATTTATATGCTGCCAAACGCTGGGCAACCAAGCCAGTACAGTGGCCAGTTCAGGCTGTGGATGGCCAGTTTGCAGTTCAAGTTGGAAAAGACGACGACGCAGAAAGCGGCCAAGGAAGCCTTTTACCGGTTCCATGTGATTGGCAGTGAGTACCTTTATAAAGAGGCAGACAATTCATGATTTAGGAGAACTAGAAATTATCTTCGGTTGCTGCAGGTGGAAAAGCACTTACCCAACGGAAATTGTGATGTAATTGCAGATTGGTTGTATTGCATGTGGCCTGAGACATGGTGCCAATTATGCAGGGCAACTTTCCGGCGGGACCCGCGCTTAGCAAGCACGAAAAGACATCACCCAAAGCTGAAGCGTGATGTAGATTATCCAATATGATCACAGATGGCAGTTCCGAAGCGCCATTCGCAATGGCTGCCTGTTCGGCTATATGGCCTAAATATTGTCGCAGCTCCTTTGAAGACTTATGATCAACACTTAAAAAAAAATATCAAATCAATATATGTAATGTATTTTCACTTGCTCACTCAAGTCTCTACTTACTTGAATGTCGCAATCGCTTCGGAGGGATTGCCGCGTCCGGTGCGCGCTACCAGAAATTCCGCTAATCTGCGCGCCAAATAAGATTTACCTGTGCCACTAGGGCCGCACAGGATCAAACGTCGATGTTCGGTCAGCAAGCTAATGTAGCGATGCACAATGCTACGCGGTATCAAGCTATCGAAGGCGAGACTACCCACACCTTGCAGACAGATATACAGTGTGCGCACATTGCCGATGATGTAACCGCAAGGCAGCAATTCGGGAAAGCCCATTTCAGGGCCACGCTTTGCCTCACCCAAGTGATAGGATGTAATCGAGTCTGTATTTAAACCCAAATTGGTGCCGGGATCAATGCGTGACACGTAGTCCTTGAAAGTCTTGCGCACAATATAGTCTAAATTCTGCCAGGTAGTCTTACCCGAGATGTACGTATAGGCGACGACAAATTCATTTAAACTGGCTGTGGGAAAGGACTTACGCTCATTGATGCCATCCGCATCGACGCCATTCGCATAAAATTCATCTGCCTCAAGCATCTCTTCGCAGTACTTAACAAATGACTCTGGCTGTCCCAGATAACAAGCGATTGCGATCTTTTTGCCATCAGTGACATCGGGCAGCTCCTCAACCGCAGCGGATGCAATATGCGTTGGGCTGGGCATAGTGTCGAGTGCAGGTGGCGGTGGTGTAAGATCGATATGTGTAGAGGGACTTAGTGGCGGCGGTGGTGGTTCAGGTGCTGGTGCCGGCGGTATGTTCTCCTCCTCAACTTCCTCTTCCAAACGCTTTGGCAACTCCATTGGTGGCCGCGCATTGCCATCGGCTAACGAGTAACGTCGTGACTCGCCAATAGAACCGCTTGGACTAATAGCATTACCTAACGAAGCCTCTGAACCCGCCAATGAACGGCTAGTTACTAGTTTTTGCAAACGTTCATTATTTTGTTTCAGCGACATCATCTCGGCGCGCATTTTATTTACGGTATCCTTAAGATTCTCTAATTGTGACGCTGAACTGAGCGCCTCCAAACGAATATCGGTCAGCACTAAGTCCTTCTCACGTAATTGCTTCTTGAGCTCTTCCACGACCTGATGATCTTCGTGGTCGATTGCGTCGATCGGTTTCGCATTATCTATTAATGTTACAGTCTTTGCCGGACTACCTTTCGTCGGCGACGCATTGGCTGCAGGCAGCGGCGGCGCAGGTTGTGTTGCCAAAGCGGCCAAACCTACAACGGCGTCGGCGTGGCTATGGCCATTAACTTTATTGTAAACTGTGCTGTTGTCGCAATGTAAGCCATGCATTACTTGACCACCAACATTATTGGCAGTGCTGCCAGCTATGCCGACATGATGATGACCGGCATGCCGACTAGTCTTTGATATTTTGGCATTGCGTGAGAACGCTTTGGTGAATGAGCTACGCAACCAACCCTTTTTCTTCTGCTTCTTATCCTGCGCCGAACAGCCGGAACTGATGGAGTTCAAAGAGCACATGGAATCGGAGCTGTGGTGGCGTTGCATAACACCGGTTGCAGTAGATGATGGCGTCGATGAGGCTGTGCCATTAGTAGCGCCGTTTTGATTCGACATCGGCTGTTGGGTGATGGCGGTACGGCCGAGTTGCTGCTGCTGTTGTTCATGTTGTGTCTGCACGCCCATACTTTGCATATGTGCCGAAGTAAGACCAGCTTGAATCGACTGCTTGCGCAGCAGTTCGATTGTTTGCCGCATGTCGGTTAGCTCGCCATCCTTGCGCTCGGCCGTCGCGGTCAGATGCTGCAGGCGTGACGTCATATTAGAGAGTGACTGCTCGAAGGCGGCGACCACATGAGCCTGCAACAAAGAGCGGCGGAAAAAATTAAATAAATTGGTATAAAAGTGATAAATAATCGAAGTGATTACCATGATAGAAATATCATTTGTCTTATTTAGAGTTTCTAAAGATGTCACGCTTTTGAGACACATATATACAGGACTAAATATAATAGTTGAATTTTAAAGCTTATATAAATCTTAGTGGATGCTTGGGTAGTTGCTTTTAAGAAAAACGCGGCTGGGGGAATTAAAACACCAAACCTGATGGTACCAACCCAAGTCCTTGTATGGAAAACTTTTCTATTTGACAAGATATCTTCACTCAATTTGGCATAGGTTATTATTCAAAGCATCGCTACATCACCGATCTACATCACATGATCTTTTTACGTCTCTAGGCTATAAAAAAATGCACCTGTGAAGAGCATTATAGCTCTTCTGGAAACAAAATTTAGAAATGACACTCTTCATGCAGACCCCCAATCACTTTAATTCAGAGTAATTATTTGCACTCACTGCCTAAGAGATATAAGCCTTGAACTGGCAGACAAAATCGCTGATGACTTTTAATAAAATAAATTGTTGTCAATTCGTTTTAACAGAACTGTAGACACATTACAAGAAAGCCATATACCAACAACGAGTTGTCTTCAGATATACAATACATATGTATGTTTGCGTGTGCGACGAAAATTCACCAATAAAGATTATAATTTTACAAAATAAAAGTTAAAAACAAACACAGTAAATATATAAAAGCACAAAAACTCAGAATAACTTGAAGCCAGCTTGAGCACAAAGTAAGCCACGAACAACAAACAATGAGCACAACAATGCAACAATAAGCCAGCGGAATTAGCGGGTGGGCACACTGTGCAACATTCCAAGTAATGCAACTAGCAACAGAACAATGCATCCAACCGCAGATGGCACGAAACAGTTGCAGCAACCACGTACAATAGCAATCGCCACTATCAAGTATATGTATACAGTTAGCCGCAGGAATGTAATAATTTACAAAATTACAAAGTGCAAAAATTGCATGGAAGTTCGAAGCTGGAAGCTAGAAGATCGGTGCTGTTGCAGAGTGCACGCTGCGCGAGGTGGTGTAAAAGAATTGTGCAACTACTGATTGAGCTGACGATTTTGCTAGTTAATAACTATGTGCATATAATATAATATTTATATAAAAATTGTTCATGCTTATGTGTGTGTGAAACCGCTTTATTCTTTCATTATGATTATCTTTATCTTCTATGTGCCATGTAATCTGCTCTTGCGTGTCAGTTTGTTTAGCATATAATCGATAAGATCGTAATGCTCCTAGGTAGCGCTCGGGCAACTCTTACTGGCTCAGCTGATGGACAAATTGCGTGTGGTAAAAAATACCAACAAAAATTATATTATAAGATTAGGAGCCTTTGGTTATATGCCAAATACTTTAATAGAGATCAGTTGCATTTAGAAATCACAGAAGAAAGCTGAGAAGTTATTAAATAATTGGCGAAGTATGCTGAACTTAAAATAAGACAAAACGTTGCTATAATACGCTTTACAAATTCAAAAGAATCCTTAAAGAACTTGTTTTTGGCCGGTCAGTTTGTATGGCCGCTATATGCTATAGTGATCCGATCTTAACAATTTCTTCGGTGATCTCACAGTTATCTTAGATAATAAGCCATGCCAATTTTCGTGAAGATAGCTTGTGAAATAAAAAAGTTTTCTATACAAAGACATGATTTTGATAGTTCAGTTCGTATGGCATCTATATGCTATAGTGGTCTGATATCGGTGGTTTCGACAAACGAGTAGCATCTTGGGTAGAAAAGGACGTGTCTGAAATTTCAGAGCGATATCTGGAAAATTTGGGGACTAGTTCGCGTATATACATATAGACAGACCGACGGACAGACATACGGACATGGTTAAATTGATTTAGCTCTTCACGCTGATTATCTATACATATATGTATATATTTTATAAGGTCTCTGTGCGAAGTCTTTGGGTATCTCTAACTCCAAAATTGAGAACATATCGCCATTTCCTGGGCAAAATATTTAAAGCAAAAATAAATTTTATCTCTCAAACTTACTGACATTGCAAAATTTTTAAAGTAATACCCCTGATCTCTTAGTTGAGCATAAGTTTCAAAGCTGCACTGACTCGAATAATTGTGCAAGAGAGTTAAGAAAAGTCTAACGAGAGCGTTCATGTTTGGTCGATATTAAGCACTGAGCCGCTTGCAAAAAAATCAAATTGTCGAGAGAATATAAAAAAAAGTTTGCATTTACTTCTATTAAGGACTATAAAATCTAAAAGATATAATTTATGTTAAAAGCTTAGTCGAAAATTATTCCGTTTTTATTCAAGGAAAAGAGTAGTTGCATACAATACCTCTTTTATATAAACTGAATATACAATACTTTGCTGTTTGTTTTACATACGAAATCATCTTCGCCAACCTTTTTTCAAAAGACTTAAACTCAGTTTTGCAAAAAGGCAATCAAACAGAGTTCGAAGAAGAGATATTTGTGAAATCGAAATAAAAATGAAAAAAAACTTTAATTTTAGTTTCACCGAAGTTCGGGTATATACAGGCATGGCTAAAGCGGCTTAGCTCATCACGTTGATTATCTATACATATATGTATATATTTTATAGGGTCTCGGACGTAAATATCGTCGCAACTTAATATACCGTGTTCAGACTCTAAAAACCCAATGAAGAACTAGATTTGTCGATTTGTCTGTTGCCAGGTTCTTAGAAGAAATTAAAGGACATCTCGGCGGAGACTTAGTATAACGAGAGAGAGGAAAAAATATTAAATTATTTAAATATATGGTATATACGTATCAACTCCCCAGAAATCTTCTTCTGTATGATAATTTTCATGAGCAGCAACTAAGCGCTTAAAGGCTTGAAAAGTGAAGAGCATTTCTCCCACGAAAAAATAAAAACATTAAAATTACTTTAATAAGAGAAAATACTCTTATTTACTCGCAGGTTAAACCAAAATTATAGTGATTTGGTGCGCTCGTAGTTGATAAAAACAAAAAACATAGTATGCCTTTTTAACTACACATACATATGTAGCTATGTAAAACAATGTGTGCGTGTGTGTGAGCGAGTAATTTGTTGTCGCATCACGTAAGTCTTCGCACATAAAATTTGATTACATCCCACGTGATGCGATGCGGCTGATAGCTGCAACGATGCTGACTGCCTGCATGGCTGGCTGCTACTGTCCCTAAACCTTGACTGCCGTAGGTAACTCGCGTGTGTGGAGCTGAAGACGGTTGCGTGCGTGTCAAAGGACAAATGGAAGCTAAGTTTGCCAGAGGATTCGCATGATTAGAAGCAGCATAGAAAGAGGTTAAGAAATTATAGTTAAATAGACAAAAAAGAAAATAGTTTTTGGGAAGATTTTCTGTTGGAAAGTTTGCGGTTACAGAAACGACACCCTTGGGAGCGCGTAAATAAAGTGGAAACACAAAATTCACAGTGTACAAAGTGGAGGCTATTTTTCTATTTCTAGGAGAGTTTGTATGGGTTTTAATGAAATTGGCTTTTGATATATGAAATATATTATATATTATATATTTTATTTTTTTTTGTTTTTAATAAATTGGGGCTCTAGAACATGGCTTCATTAATAAACGACTCAAATTAGTTAACTTACATACATGTTATAGCTGATACTTTTTGAGTATTATAGATATGTAATTGATTATATTATATATATGTACATGCAGCTAGAAACTCTATTTATCATCGCACTCTAATTAATATCAATTCTAAACGAAATTTCATTTCAAATTTCTATTTCGTATGCAAACCACGTGAATTTTATCATAAAACAGCCACAAATTCGTCTAATTAGTTAAAACATGAAATAAATGCAACACCACAAAATCACGTTTACAACATATCAAAGCACTCGAGCGGGCCTCGGCAGGTGATTAGTAGAGAAGCATAATTTTTCCACGCATATTACCGTATAGACAAAACATCACTCGGCAATTGGCAATAAAATTTTCAGCGCGCGTTCATTTTTTATACGTTTTTGCCGCAATTGAAACCCCAAAAAGCGTGCAAAATTGCTGTGAGTAATAACCGTGCGACTGTCGCTACCACGGCACTTCCAGGGAAACACATACACACACACACGTGCTTTTCTTGTTGTTGTTTACAGTGGTGACATTAATGACGAAAGTGTAAGTAATGACGATTATGTGCTCGGCATGAACGCAATTAACGCTCGCATACACTTACGTGCGTGTCACGCGATAGTCGTTTAGGAAAATATTAAGCGTTTAATTAGAAGTGCTATAGAGAAGAAGGCACAGGATGTTGGTTGACAGCGCAGTGTGGGTGTCATGGATGAAAGGTTAGTTGATTTACAGTTACAGGAAATTTAATTCTACTATTTTAAGATTCTAGCAAAATAATTTTGGACAATTATAGTTTAGTTAATGTGGAGGTTGGAGTAAATAAATAAATATATTATATATATGAACTATGTTTGATTTTATATAGTTGCCTTAGATATGCTACTTTTCGGTTGGCGCTGTTTGAGATCTGGGCTCAAACTCTTCAATTATTTAAGAGTGTATACACATATGTATGTACATATATGCAGCATTAAACTTTTTTTTTTGATTTTAACTCATCTCTGGAGCACAGGACCTCTAGAAGATTGCGCCATGTCACACGTTTGAGGCTTGTTGTCTTTACACCTTTGCGTCCCTGGTGATTTTTTGCATCGGCTAATTCGCGTCGAATTGACCTTCTACATGTTACTATGTTGATTTTGGTCAGCCGCAACTTCTACTTCCTTGCGTATTCCAGTCAAGCGACATTCTAGTAATGTTGTCTAGCGACTTCCTCAGAGTATGGCCTATCCAGCGCCATTTTCTGCGCTTTATTTGCTTCAAAAAAGGATCGTCTTTTTTGAAACCCCATTACGCTTGTCTGTAGATGATTCGTAGGCACTTGTTGGTGAATGTTGGAGCCTCTAA